TGGTCGAAGCCGCGTACGACCCAGCGTGCTTTGAACTTGTCGATGGTGCCATCCGCCTTTGTCTTCACACGGAAGACCCATTTCCCGGTAAGGATCATTTTGTTTTGTGCCACGCCAATGGGAACGACTTTCCAGGTATTGTGTTCCTCCAACGCTTTCAGCTCTCTGTCCATGGCTTCGCGCCATTTTTCCCTATGCTCCCCCCCCAGAGCCTGCTGAACCGTGGCAGGCTCCTTAGGAATCGCCGTGCCGTGAACCGCGGTGACGAGGCCGAGAATCTGGAGTCCACTCTGTGTGTAGCGGGGGAGTGTTGTATCCTCGGGATAGACTGCTTCGTCTCCCGTTTCTGGATCGGGTATGAAGTTTGGTCCTATGCGTTCTGCTTCGTTGGTGTTGACTTGTGCAGGTGTAACGTAACCCTCGTCGGCGAGGTCGTAGAAGACGTCGGCGTTGATGCTTTCGCGAGGATTGTCGTCATCCATCGGTATATCCATCAAGCAGTATGGGAGTGGTCCGGCTTCTTCCGAGGCTCCATCTACGTTTTGCTCGTCCAAGTCAGCTTCGTCGGCCGCCGAAGCGAAGGCTCGGTCTCCACGAAATCCACTAATGAGGTCTCGCTGTTCTGCCAAGTTGGCTTGGTAGGAGTCGAGGGTGAGTCGCTCGTAGAAAATGACATCACGTGCTGCCACTGTTTCTTTTGTGTGAACATCGAAAATCTTCCATGCGTTGTAATTCTTTTCGATGCCCAGGTGTAGTCCCCACTGTGCGCGTTGGGAGAATCGGCCGGCTCGTGCAGCTGGGGGTCGGTACTGTACCATGCAGCCGAAGACGCGCAACATTTTTGTGCTGCCCAGTTTTCCTGTCCACAGCAGATGCGGTGATGCGTTGTTCGGGAGCGATGATGACGAGAGCAAGTTGTGCAGCATCACAGCATGGTCCATTGCTTCGGGCCACTGGTGGTTGGGTAGCCGCATGCCACGTAGCAGCTTGCGCATGGTGTTCTGGAGGGTCCTGTTCATCCTTTCTGCTACACCCTGCTGTTGATGGGCGTAAGGAAGGGAGATGAGCCTCTTGATTCCCTTCTCTGCCAGGTAGTCCTTGAAGCGTTGTGAGGTGTATTCTCCGCCTCCATCTGACTGAAAGCTCTTCAGTTTCACCCTGGATTCTCGTTCTGCTCCTGGAAGCCAGGCAACGAAGGCTTCGAAAGCCATGTCGCGGCTCGGGAGATTCAGGTGCCAGACGTATCTTGTGGCGGCGTCGATGAAGGTGATGGTGTAGTTGTAGGCTCCTTGTCCTGGTACGCGATTGTACAGGATGTCGCTGTACACCTTTTCGAGTGGTGCGTAAGCTGGTGCGCTTGGATTGTGGTGAGGGATGAACGGCTGATGCAGTAAGTCGGCTTCAGGGCAGGTGAAGCATGTTCCTCTGACTCGTTGGAGTTCTCTCCCGTCGTGCAGTAGTAGTGAATCTTTGTCGAGCACTCCTGCTCTTATCGTGTTGTTTAACGTTGTGTTGCTTGGGTGTCCCATTCGTGCATGCCAGATGTCTTCGTTGGCGCGATGTCCGGGTGAGCGCCGATACATGTCGGAGTTGGAGTAGAAGCCGGTGGTGAAGTTGGCGCTTCGGTGGACTTCTCGTTGAGTTGGAGCTAGCTGCTGCGCGGGTGTTGGTGGCGAATCGTCGATAAGGATTGGTGTTGTTGAAGGACCAACGATTGGCGTCGTTGTTGTTTCTGTTGCCGGTGTTGTTCCTGCTGCTGCTGCTGTTGTCTCTGCTGCTGCCAATGCTGTCTCTGCTGCTGCCGATGTTGTCTCTGCTGCTGCCGATGTTGTCTCTGCTGCTGCCGATGTTGTCTCTGCTGCTGCTGATTGTTGAATTGTTGCTAACGCTCTTGTTCGTTCTGCCTCAGGTATCGTGTGAGAGTGCCAGAAACCACCGGGGCTGAAGTCTGGGTCAAGATCTGGAGGGTGTGTCCAAGGAGCAAAGCTGACGATGCCGTCGCTGTCGGCGGTGCCAAGATCTGGAACGAAATCGAGAACGAAGACATTATTTTCCAAGACTGTTTTTCCGATATAGAGACCGCCCTTCCCGTGGTACAGCTTGAACTCTTGAGCGGTGCTGTCTGCTTCAAGGTGGATGCCCTTCGCCATCAGCTGGCTGACGCTGAGTAAGTTGTAGCCGAGTCCTTCTGCTATTAAGACCTTCGTCATTTGCAGTATGACGTTTGTCTCCCGTGACTGAAGTTGAACCACGCCTTGTCGTCGTGTGCGCAGGTTTTGGTTGTTGGCGACGGTGATGACTACTTCGCGTTGGAGTTGGTACTCTCGCTGCACGAAGCGTCCTGAAGAGCACATATGCTGCCCGCAGCAACTGTCCAAGAACCAAGTGTCTTTTCCGGACGGCTCACTTTGGGCGATAGCTGCATACGTTGGGTTTGGTTGAAGTGACTCGCGGCGGGGCGTGCTGTTGTCGAGTTGTTCTTCCGGTGAGTAGTGTGGCGGTGACTCGGTGATGCAGGAGTCAGACAATCTTGCCATGCAGCTGACGATGTTTCTTGCTCCTTGTGCAGGTTGTGTTGTTGAAGGCTGCGATTGACTCGTGGGGTTTGCTTGCGTCGATGCCACTTGGCTGCTTGAAGGTCGAAGCTGCCGCTGCGGCGGTGCTGATTGTTGTCGATTCGGGCAGTGTGTGCGCGGGTGTCCTGAAGTCTTGCAGATGTGGCAGAACAGAGGTACGGGCTTCGGTTGTTGTCGGTTGTTGTTGTTGTAGCGTCGCTGAGTGTGGAAGGCGAATTCCGGTACTGACGTTTTTCTCTTGTGTCGTTCTTCTTGCAGGTCCATATCTTGTTGCTCGGCTTGAATTTTAGCGCAGAGTGCTGCTTCGGAGATTCTTCCGTGGGCTCGGAGAATGGCTTTTGTGGCGCGCCATTGAGGGCCAAGGCTGCCGATGATGACTGTCACGAAGGCGTCTTCTGATATTGATCCTCCGCATCGAAGGAGTTTGTCGCGCAGTTCGCGACAGCGACTGATATACGCCATCCCCTTTTCCCCTGGTTTCATTTCAACTGTTGTCAGTTGTGCCATCAACCGACTCTGATTTACACTATTTGTTGCTTGATACAGGCTCTTCAAGTGGTTGTATGCGAGCTCGGCGGAGTTGCCGTATCCCCGGTAAGACCGTATGTTCTGCTGCTGAGTCGGTGTGACGTTTGTTTCTTAGGAGGATTGTGTACGCCATCATTGACTGATAGGTGTACTGCTGCTTCTCATACTGTGTACTGTTTGTTGGGTATGGCAGGGTTCTGTCGAAGAAGCCGAGAATCTGCGCGCCTTCCATCATCAATTCGAACTCGAACGACCAGGTGAAGAAGTCCTTTCCGTCGAAAGGTCTTGACGTCTGCAGTTTCAGAACGTGTGCGAACTGCGACTGAACTTGTAACGCGTCCAGTGGTTTCTCTTGTCCAGGTGAAGGCTGCGGGTGCGGCATGAAGCTGATGGACCCGCGCTCGTACGGAGCAAAGGTAGGCTGTTGCTGTTGATTTCCGCGCGCGTATGACGACCCATCAAGGCTCATGGGAGTTACGTCGTTGTTGTTGTTGCTGTTGTTTGATTGCGCAGGTGCCGATTGCTGGTGTTGCTCGTAGAAGGACATGAAGGAGAAGAACTTCTCCATCATGCTCTGGTCGAAACCTGTAGGTTGATTCGCAGGAGTCTCGGTAGTCGTTGCTCTTGCCGTACCCTCCTCTGTCTGTAGGCCAGAGGCAGGAGGTGGAGTAGGGGTAGTGCCGGGAGAACCATTAGAGGAACTCCTTTCCTTCTGGGTTGCCATGTCTTCTGATGTTGTAGGTGACTTGATAGTAGTTGAATTCCCCCTGTTAGCTCTCATACCATGTTGGGCTGAAAAAGCCCTTAGGATCTTTGCAGGGGTGAACTCTGGGTAGGAACAGTGTAATAGCGGAAGCGTTTAATGATGAGATTGTGAACCACCTTGCGCTAGTGTGTGAGGGCAAAGTAGATTGATTAAAGCAAAGAGATACAAGATTATATAAGAGTACAAGGAATATGAAAGGATACAGCTATAACTGTTTTATTGTTGCTGTTGCGGTTCGATACAGTGACGACTCGGGCAACTGCTCTGTAACGAGTCAGTTGTGTGTCCTTGCTGTCGCACTGTACTGTCAAACATGTATGCTGCATATTGTCTAGGCTGTAGTGGGGTAGCCCATATGGGGTACAACCAAATTAGGGTTTCCTACTTGTACTCCTGCATGCTGTTAGTTCATCATTCCTGCTGCCAGATTCTAACATGGTATCAGAGCACTAAGGTCCGTAGGACCGTTTTTTTCGGGCCCACCTACCACTGCGGTTACCGCGCTACCCCACGTACCTGCCTGCCTTGCCTTGCCTTGTGACGTGCTGCACTACGTCGCTGACCTTTGACTTTCGCGTAACCTCCAGCGGTTACTTCAACCTCCGAGGGTTGACTCGCCGGTGCTTCGATATGCTTTGCTTCGCTTGTGGCTTGGTGTTTCGCCACGACAGAAGCGCTTTAAATCAATTGTTTCCAACAAAGGGCAATTGGTGTATGTGGGTAGATGCTTAGAGAAACAAATCCTGCATTTTCAGAAAGTGAATGGATTTGGGTACCTGCTCAATGTTAGCATGTGATGTGACTAGGGGCTGTGATACATCATATTACGTCTTTTTTTTTTTTACTGTAAAAACAGAGCCTCGCAAGCAGGAGTCTACCTACCAACTCTAACAGCAAAGCAGTCTGAAACCAAAACCTTGGACAATGCAAAGCAACTTACACCCTTCTGCTCGGTGTGGAGGGGACTGTCTTACAAGCCTGAAGGTAGGCACCACCCAGCCCAGCTGTGCCTTACTCTTCTTACCGTTTTACAAGTTCTTCATTCAGCTTCCTATTCGTAGTACCGTTTTTTTACAGTTAGCGGAAATGGAAGTGAAGTACGCAGATTAAAACCCCTTTCAGCAGTCTACTCATACCACGAACGGATTGTTGTTTGGAGTCCCTAAATTGTCAATGGCTGGAAGCGTGGATACAGCGACCAAGGGTGATAATGCAGGTTGCAATGAAGCCACCGGTCGAAATGGAAGCTGCTCTGTACCAGGAGCAACTGCCCATGGCACCAGCCTTGCAGGAACAGCTTGCGGGCCATAGGAATACTGGCCAATGCGTGTTGCAAATGCAGGTCGGGTTCCCAGGTCCTTTCCAGATGAAGCTGCAGCTGGAAGAGCAGAAGTATTTGTAGCAGTATCTGAAGCAGCAGACAAGTCAACCACACCATTCACAACACCAGGAACCGTGGAAAAGGCCTGTTCTGGTCCTTGCTCGTTTGGCCAATCGAAATCCAGCGATTTAGATCTCCGTGAACTGAAATAGAAAAGAAACCAAATCAGTCAACCTCGTCAGATAGGTGCTCCTTAGCTTATGATAGAAACATACCGTTGACGCTGTAGTGGCAGAGGGAATGCCTTGATAGGTTGGCTGACAGCATCCTCATCTTCTGCGGGAGCAAATTGATGTAGTTCTTCTGAGGACAATCCGCCAAAACGCCGGTTATCAATTTTGGAAGAGTCTGGGTAGCTGACTGATCTTCTGTGTCGGCGAGTATCACTGGGTGGTGGTGGCAACGCGGGGATCGGACTCCGGAAGTCAGAATCCTTGGAAGCTTCAGACGGTGACAGTATCGTCAGAGTTTGCAGTGAGTGTAAAAACGAATTCCCGCCTATCTCTCCACTAGAAAATGCTTCAGGATTGCTCGAAGATCGTGATGTTGCGTTTGAGGATGCTTCACTGGAGTAAGACCCTTGGTGTGCCATCTTCATTCTCTCTTCGTCAGCAAGAGACTCAGACAAAAGAAGGTTCAAAACAGCAGCAGCCTGCATAACGGGGGGTTGGTGGGGTTGCGGAGGGTGGTGCCGTTAGAGCATAATCTCGAGGCGGCAGCAAGGTCCAGCATCAACTGAAGTACCTTAACACGAACAGAGTATCCATGGTCGGTGCCATCTCTCTTGTCCACACAACGAAAATCTTTCGAGAAAACTTCCAGCTGCAAAATAATAGATGTAATCAATGGGATGGAATAATTCGAATCACTACTGGGACACTCAAACTTTCGCACAGAATCAGCCTACTAACAAACCATGGTGAGGTATTTCTTCCGAAGATCTTCCCGTATGTGACCGGCTCCATAGATGATAAGGTGCTCGACAACCACCAATGAGTTATACACCTTGTTCCTGGTAAGAACGATCCACAAAATAATTTCAATGGTTTTATTTTCCAATCATAGATTCTCCAGATTCTTACCATGAACTCGGTTTTTTCACCCCCTTGTCCAGCCGATAAGCGACCACATCCATAATCGAAGCGTAGGAATCAGTGTTACAAGAAGCATCGGCAAGTTCCTGCAGCAATTTCGGGCACGTCAGAATTTTCCAGCGGACAGAACAAAATCACAGCCAAACATTCATACCTTCAGAAGGGATAGTGGAGGCCTCACTGGGACGTCCTTAGTGACTTGTCGTGTAATATTTGCGACATGATCACCGTGCTTACTGGACTTCGACTTGTTGAAAGAAATCCCCAACAGCTTCCTGCTACCCAAAACACCTTTCAGAGATGCCATCGTTCTCTCAAAGCATTGATTAGACTGCGCAAAGAACTTAGAAATAAGGCTTGCAGCAAGAAGCAACCTTCAGTCGTGGCTTATGCATAGATCAACCAGGTCATTACATCCTCGCACAACTCGGCGACTGACAGGTCGACTAAAGGCAATAACAGGCTTGACGTTGTGTTTACCCTCGTCGGAAGATGCATTGATCATTCGAATCGCAATGCTTGAAGTATTGAGGCTGGGCGACGCATCCGCTACAATGCAGGGAGGTGGAATGTATTACCACAATTTGATATCGCGGATGACACAAGTATAGAATCAATGTGTAAAAATCAATTACCTGGTGTGCAGTAGTAAACCTATCGTACAGCAGAAAAGGCTGGCTGCGCAATACCGTACCTCCCATTGCCAGCAGTAGACGAACAAAATTACCCAAATACGGGATGTAGTAAACATGCACAATTAAGGTAGAAACATTCAGACGCTCACACGTATCTGAACATGAGTGTAGGGAGTTGCTGCCTTAAGACCTAAATGACGCAGAGAATTGTACGCATACATATATATATATATATATTCGTATTTGTGCTTTGTGTTGGAAACAGTAAATCTTAAAGCGCCTCTGTCGTGTCGAAACATCGCACCAGAAGCGAAGCGAACCATATTGAGGCACACGCGAGTCAACCCTCGGAGGTTGAAAGAGGTTGCTGGAGGTTACGCGAAAGTCAAAGGTTAAGCGATCTTTGACCTGACAAGTACAGCGCGACAGCAAGGACACACAACTGACTCGCTACTGAGCAATTGCTCGAGTCGTCACTTTATCGAACCGCAACAGCAACAGTAAAGTAGTTATAACCGTATCCTTTCATATTCCTTGTACTCATATATAAGTGCTTGTATCCCTTTGCTTTAATCAACTTACTTTGCCCTCACATACTAGCGCAAGGTGGTTCACAACTTCTTTATTAAACGCTTCCGCTATTACAATTATCCTACCTTGAACTTACCCCTGCAAAAGATCCTAAGGGCTTTTCTCAGCCCAACATGGTATGAGAGCTATCAGGGGAAATTCAACTTCCATCAAGTCATCAACAGACAACATGGCAACATACAAGGAAAGGAGTTCCTCTAATGGTTCTCCCGGGACTACTCCTACCCCACCTCCTGCCTCTGGCCTGCAGACAGAGGAAGGAACCGCAACGGGACCAGCAGCGCCTTCAGCCAGCCAGCCTGCCAGCTTCGACCAGAATATGACGGAGAAGTTTCTATCCTTCATGTCGTTTTACGAGCAACACCAGCAATCGGCACCTGCGCAGTCAAACAACAGCAACAACAACAACGTGACTCCAATGAGTCTCGACGGCTCATCATATGCGCGCGGAAACCAGCAACAACCTACCTTTGCTCCGTATGAACGCGGGTCCATCAGCTTCATGCCGCACCCGCAAGCTTCACATGGACAAGAAAAACCACTGGATGCACTACAAGTTCAGTCGCAATTCGCACACGTCTTGAAGCTGCAGACATCAAGGCCCTTCGACGGAAAAGACTTCTTCACCTGGTCGTTCGAGTTCGAGCTCATGATGGAAGGCGCGCAGATACTTGGCTTCTTCGACGGGTCTGTGCCATACCCAACAAACGGCACACAGTATGAGAAGCAGCAGTACACATATCAGTCGATGATGGCGTATACGATCCTACTGAGAAACATCACCCCAACTCAGCAGCAGAACATACGGTCTTACCGGGGATTCGGCAACTCCGCGGAACTCGCGTACAAACACTTGAAGGACCTGTATCAAGCAACAGACAGCGTCAGTCAAAGTCGGCTAATGGCGCAACTCACAACGTTCGAAATGAAACCAGGCGAAAAGGGAATGGCATATATCAGTCGATGTCGCGAACTGCGCGACAAGCTTCTTCGATGCGGAGGGTCAATCTCTGAAGACGCCTTCGTGACAGTCATCATCGGCGGCCTCGGTCCTCAATGGCGCGCGACAAAGGCCATTCTCCGAGCCCACGGAAGAATCTCCGAAGCAGCACTCTGCGCCGAAATCCACGCCGAGCAGCAAGACATGGACCTGCAAGAAGAAAGACACAAGAGAAAAACGTCAGTACCGGAATTCGCGTTCCACACTCAGCGACGCTACAACAACAACAACAACCGACAACAACAGAAACACGTACCTCCGTTCTGCCATATCTGCAAGACGTCAGGGCACCCGCGCACACACTGCCCGAATCGACAACAGTCAACGCCACAACAGCGACAGCTTCGACCTTCAAGCAGCCAAGTTGCCTCAACGCAAGCGAATCCTACGACCCAGGTTCAAGCTTCAACAACAACAAGACAACCTGCAAAAGAAGGAAGGAACATCGTCAGCTGCATGGCAAAGTTAACCGACTCCTGCGTTACTGAATCTCCACCACACTACTCACCGGAAAAACAGCTCGACAACACTACACCCCGCCGCGAGTCACTGCAGCCGAACCCGACATACGCCGCCATCGCCCAGAGTGAGCCATCCGGGAAAGACACATGGTTCTTGGACAGTTGCTGCGGACAGCACATGTGTTCTTCAGGACGCTTCGTACAACGAGAGTACCAACTCCAACGTGAAGTAGTCATCACCGTCGCCAACAACCAGAACCTGCGCACACGGCGACAAGGCGTGGTACAACTTCAGTCACGAGAAACAAGTGTCATTCTACAAATGACCAAGGTTTTAATCGCAGAAGGCCTCGGCTACAACTTACTGAGTGTCAGTCAGTTGATGGCGAAAGGCATTCACCTCGAAGCAGACAGCACCACCCAGGAGTTCAAGCTGTACCACGGAAAGGGCGGCCTCTACATCGGAAAGGCGATCCTCAAGAACAACGTCTTCGTTCTTGATTTCGTACCAGACCTTGGCACCGCTGACAGCGACGGCATCGTCAGTTTTGCTCCTTGGACACATCCTCCAGATCTTGACCCAGACTTCAGCCCCGGCGGTTTCTGGCACTCTCACACGATACCTGAGACAGAACGAACAAGAGCGTTAGCAACAATTCAAGCAACATCGGCAGCAGCAGCAACAACATCGGCAGCAGCAGAAACAACATCGGCAGCAGCAGAGACAACAACAACAGCAGCGGCAACATCAACACCAATCGCTGGTCCTTCAACAGCACCGATCTCCATCGACGATGCACCACCGACACCCGCACAACAACTAAATCCAGCACCACGCGAAGTCCACCGAAGCACAAACGTCACCGCCGGCTTCTACTCCAACTCCGATCTGTATCGGAGATCACCCGGACATCGCGCCACTGAAGGAACCTGGCACGCAAGAATGGGACATCCAAGCAACACAGTGTTAAACAACACGATAAGAGCAGGAGTGCTCGACAAAGACTCACTTCTACTGACCGACGGCAGAGAACTTCAACGAGCCCGTGGAACGTGCTTCACCTGCCCTGAAGCTGACTTACCACACCAGCCGTTCGTCTCGCACCACAATCCAAGCGCACCTGCGTACACACCTCTGGAAAAGGTGTACAGCGACATACTGTACAACCGCGAACCCGGACAAAACGCCTACAGTTACACCATCACCTTCATCGACGCCGCTACACGTTACGTGTGGCATCTCAATCTTCCGAGCAGAGACATGGCCTTCGAAGCCTTCGTCGCGTGGCTTCCCGTAGCAGAAAGGGAATCGGGCGTCAAGCTGAAAGGCTTCCAGTCAGACGGGGGAGGGGAATACACCTCACAGAGGTTCAAGCAGTACTTGGCAGAAAGAGGGATCAAACGGCTCATCTCCCTTCCCTACGCTCACCAACAGCAAGGTGTAGCAGAACGGATGAACAGGACACTCCAAGCCACCATGCGCAAGCTGCTACGTGGCATGCACCTGCCCAACCACCAGTGGCCCGAAGCAATTTATCACGCCGTGATGCTGCACAACTTGCTTTCGTCATCATCGCTCCCGAACAACGCATCACCACACCTGCTGTGGACAGGAAAACTGGGCAGCACAAAAATGTTACGAGTTTTTGGGTGCATGGTACAGTACCGCCCACCAGCTGCACGAGCAGGCCGATTCTCTCAACACGCACAGTGGGGACTACACCTGGGCATTGCAAAACACTACAACGCGTGGAAAATCTTCGACATCAACAGCAAGGAAACAGTAGCAGCACGTGATGTCATCTTCTACGAGAACCTCACCCTCGGAACTCACCTCATGTACATCGAAGAAAACAGACCTGACCTCTCGGGCGGATTTCTTGGGAACCGAGCCTTCGCCTCGGCAGAAGACGAAGCTGACTGGGACGAGCAGAACGTGGAGGGAGCCTCGGAAGCAGCCGGACCTCTCCCTTACTGCTCCGTGGACATCCCAATGGACGACGAAAATCCTCGCGAAAGCATCAACGCCGAAGTCTTCTACGATTTCGCCGACAACGGTTACGTTACACCTGCACGGGTCAACACCAACGAAGCAGAACGAGTAGGACCGAATTTCAATCCAACACCTGAAACAGGAGACGAAGCAGTTTATCCCGAGGACACCACACTCCCCCGCTACACACAGAGTGGACTTCAGATACTCGGGCTCGTCACCGCAGTCCACGGTCCCGCCATTCCTAAGGAGCCTGCGACGGTTCAACAGGCTCTGGGGGGGGGAGCACAGGGAAAAATGGCGCGAAGCCATGGACAGGGAGCTGAAAGCATTAGAAGAGCGCAACACGTGGAAAGTCGTCCCCATCAGCGTAGCACGGAACAAAACCATCCTCACCGGAAAATGGGTCTTCCGCGTGAAAACGAAAGCAGACGGCACCATTCAAAGCACGATGGGTCATGCGCGGCTTCGACCAAGAACACGGACGCGACTTCACCGAAACATTCGCACCTGTCAGTCGACATACCTTACGGCGAATTCTCCTCGCAATCGCCGCCATGAAGAAGAAGAAGCTGAGACAAATCGACGTTGCGAACGCTTTTCTCTACGCACCTGTCGACGTAGAGATTTTTGTGGAGCTACCACACGGCTCCAGCACGGACTCCACACACGTCTGCCAGCTGCTCAAATCGCTCTACGGCATCAAACAGGCTCCGCGACTGTGGCAACAGTATCTACACGCTCGCCTCGTCCGCATCGGCTTTAAACAACTGCCGCACGATCAGGGCATGTACCGACTTACAAAGAACACCGACTACATTCTACTAATCGTCTATGTAGACGACCTCCTCTACATCGGCTCGTCCGACAGCATCACCACCTGGTTCGAAGGGGAGCTGCAGCAAGACCTCACGCTTACGGTTTCGTCTACCGTCACACAATACCTTGGACTCAACATCCGAGAAGAAGACAACGCGATCTACCTCAGTGCCGCGAAATACGCCGACACCATCGCCAAACGTTTCGCTCTTGCACCAACCACCATCTCCACACCATATCGCTACACGACAGGAAACAACAAGGGTGAATCCGCTCTACTCAAGCCTGCCGGCATTCGCGACTACCAGAGAAAGCTGGGATGCCTTCTCTTCGCAGCCGTCACCTGTCGCCCAGACCTATCCTACTCCGCAAGCCAACTCGCCACCTACCTCAAAAGACCCGAAGCAGAGCACCTAGCAGAGCTCGACCGCGCTCTTCACTACCTCGTCAGCACCCCGACGATCGGGCTAACCTACCACAAGAACGCAACTACACCAACTAAGCTAATCGGCTACGTCGACGCAGATCATGCTGGTGACTCAGACAACAGACGCTCGCGCACCGGCTACATCTATCGCCTTGAACCTATCGGTCCTATCTCCTGGCAGTCGAGCAAGCAGGAGTTAATCGCACTCTCATCAGCTGAAGCAGAATACATTGCACTCTGCTCAGCCACCAAAGAAGGACTTTACCTTCGCGAGCTGCTGGAAGAAGCGAAATTAGCCGAGTTACACAACTTAACCCTGTTCTGCGACAACCAGTCCGCAATTCGCATCGCCAACAAAAGCGGCTTCGCGAACAGGACGAAACACATCGCCCTACGCTATTTCTTCGTAAAGGACGAGATCGAGAAGGGAAGACTCGAGCTGTCATACTGTCCCACGTCCGAGATGGCAGCCGACTATTTGACCAAGAAGCTCGGAAAGCAGAAGTTTGAGTATTGCATGCTGCTGACTGGACAAGGCCACGTCATCAGCTGCGAACTCCAGAAGCGAAGGGGAGTGTTGGAAACAGTAAATCTTAAGCGCCTCTGTCGTGTCGAAACATCGCACCAGAAGCGAAGCGAACCATATTGAGGCACACGCGAGTCAACCCTCGGAGGTTGAAAGAGGTTGCTGGAGGTTACGCGAAAGTCAAAGGTCAAGCGACCTTTGACCTGACAAGTACAGCGCGACAGCAAGGACACACAACTGACTCGCTACAGAGCAGTTGCCCGAGTCGTCACTGTATCGAACCGCAACAGCAACAGTAAAGTAGTTATAACCGTATCCTTTCATATTCCTTGTACTCATATATAATGCTTGTATCCCTTTGCTTTAATCAACTTACTTTGCCCTCACATACTAGCGCAAGGTGGTTCACAACTTCTTTATTAAACGCTTCCGCTATTACAATTATCCTACCCTGAACTTACCCCTGCAAAAGATCCTAAGGGCTTTTCTCAGCCCAACACTTTGTAGGCTAGGTTGGGTTGCAGCATAGAGGGTATGGGCTGTTACTTATACCCCCTTCGTATGCCGTCATGTTATAATTATTGTTTCGGTTGCAATGTGTCAGAATCAAAGAGCAGGAATGTGTGTATTGAATGAAAGGTGGGTACAAGTACTAACCCTAACTTTGGGTTGTACCCCATATGGGCTACCCCACTATAGCCTACACAGAACTAACACACATATATAGTTTGACACACCCCCGTAGGCAAAGTGGGGGAGAACAAGAGGTCACAAGACCAGTCAAGAAAGGCAAAGCAAGCCCAGGGTGGATCACAACGTCACCACACACTCTAAGCACAAGCAAAGGGCCACAAGGCCAATTCACATGCAGAGGTATATATGCAACAACAACAGTACAGTGATCACTACCTAGCAGGAGTAGGCATGCAGGTATATAATATAGATCACAGTACAAGCAAAGTCAAGAGGTAAGCAAGTGAGCAAACACTGGCACCAGGCCTAAAGCTGTGCAAAAGCGCTGATGGTCACAAGGCGGAAGTGCCTTGGTGAACACATCAGCAGTGTTGGCCCTGGTGGCCACGTAAGAAACACGAAGCTGACCACGCTGCTGCAACTCTCGAGCAAGGAAGTAACGCAGAGCGATATGCTTCGTTCTGTGCTCCACTCTGTGCTCCTGACACAAGGTAATAGCAGCCTTGTTGTCTACGTACAGAACTGGAGGAGAACGAGGCCTCTCTCCCAAGTCGGTTAGCAGGTAGGTGAGCCAGCGTAACTCCTGAGCAGCCATGGCTGTGGCGTAGATCTCAGCCTCACAATTGGAGCTGAGAACAGAAGACGAGCGTGTAGACCGCCAAGAAACAGAGCCGGAGCCAAGGCTGAACGTGTACCCCTGCGACGACCGCTGCGTAGCCAGGTCGTCGACCCAAGAAGCGTCGGAGTGTCCAGTGAGGACAACGTCACCCCGTCCTCCAAGCACGAGCCCCATGCCCGATATACTGCACAAGTAGCGTAACACCCTCTTAGCAGCCTCCCAGTGCTCTCGCCGGTGTCTCCCAGGCGCAACGTAGCGAGCTAGGATGCTAAGAGGGTACGCAAGGTCAGGTCGAGTGCAGGTCATCAGGTACATGAGGCAGCCCACAAGCTCTGGATACGGGCCACTCGGCTCTACGGACTCATCCGAAGGCAGAGCTGAGAGCGAGTGACCTGTAGCCAGAGGAGTGGACTGTGGCGAGGACCAAGTGAAGCCGAAGCGCTGAAGGACCTGCTGCACCATGTGTGACTGAGTCAGTGTGATGGTGCAGCGTGCTCTGTCCCAGGTGATCTGCAAGCCAAGGTAACTGCGCAGCTCACCCAGGTCCGTGCACTTGCGTCGCTTCTGCAGCTCCGACTTCACAAGAGCGAGTGCCTCAGTGTCAGCAGTGGCAAAGACCAAGTCGTCGACGTACACGAGGATGTAGAACAGCGGCAACGAGGGGTCGGTGCGTAGAAACAGCGACGGGTCAGCAGTGGAAGGAGCAAACCCAAGAGCCGCAAGTGTCGTCCTCAGTGTGTCGTGCCACTCACGAGGCGCCTGACGGAGACCGTAGACTGGCCGCCTGAGGCTCCACTGGGTATCAAAAGGAAACGACTCAGTGAAGCCAGGTGGGCGGCGCAGCCAGATCTCCTCGTGCAGACTGCCCTGTAAGAACGCTGTGCTGAAGTCAAGAGAGTGAAGCTCGTAGTCACGCTGAGCGGCAACGTGCAGCAGCACCCGAAGAGTGGTCATCTTCGGGGTAGGGGAGAAGGTATGGAAGAAGTCAACTCCCTGTCGTTGACTGAAGCCTCGTGCAACGTAACGAGCCTTGAAGACAGGCGAAGAACCCGGCGGCCGCTTCACCCTGAAAATCCACATTCCATCGACGATGTTCGCCCCAGGAGGGGGAACATCGTCGACGTAAGTGCCTGTGGACTTCCAGGATGCCATCTCTACGTCCATGGCTGTCTGCCACTGAGAGGAGTACTGACCCGAAATCGCCTCTGCGTAAGAGCGCGGGGTTGGGATGTCTAGTGCATCCGGGTCTCCCTCAGGAGCAAGCAGCATGGCCACGAGATGAGGTGCAGCGGCTGCAAGACACTCAAAGTCCTCTTGCCTGTCCTCAAGGACGTCCGTTCCAAGAGCACACTCACCCCCGACGGACGGAGGACAGACACACTCAGACTCAGCAACAAGACTAGCAGCGTAGTCGAGACGACAAGCAGCAGCAAAGTCAACAAGCTCAGTGACCAAAGCAAACGCAGCAGCGGACTCAAACGAAGGGTCAGTGACAACAGTGGCTAACAGACGCGTGACAGTAGGGTGAGCAGCACGAACTAGGTCAGACTCAGGGTCCTGCACAGCAGGAAGAGAGGACGCAGGAGGAGACGGCAGAGGGACGCGCTGTGGAGCAGAGGAAGGACGAAGTGCCATAGTGTGAGTACCTGGCACAGGAGGAGGACGCGGACGCGGGACTCGACGAGCACGACGAACAGTGCGAACAGGGGAGGCAGGACGAGACGCAGGCTCACGACGCTCTGTAAGCGAGTCAGTGTGCTCAGTGTAAGGAGAAGGAGCAAGCAGTGGTGAGCCGGGCTGTAACGGGAGGCCAGTAGAAGACGGGAGGCTAAGAACTTGGCGAAGTACGGAGGCAGGTGGTGGCAGAGACGACGGCGACGGTGGAGCGAAGAACAGTCGCGGCGGTGCAGTACCACCAGCACCAGTACCAGCAGCAGCTCCAGCGTCTCCTGCAGCTCTTGAACCTCCAGCCCCAGCGCCTCCAACGTTAGCACCTCCAGCTCCAGCGTCACCAGCAGCAGCACCCCCAGAACCGACACCTCCAGCCCCAGGGTCCACAGCACCAGCGCCAGGGCCTCCAGCTCCACTGCCTCCAGTAGCAGCACCCACAGAACCGGCACCTCCAGCTCCGGGGTCTCCAACTCTAGAGCCGACAGCACCAGCTTCAGTGTCTCCAGCTACAGTGCCTCCAGCAGTAGCACCCCCGGGACCGGCACCTCCAGCCCCAGGGTCTCCAACTCCAGGGTCGACAGCACCAGCTCCAGGCCCCCCGGCCCCAGTACCTCCAGCAGCAGCACCCCCAGCTCCGGCAGCTCCAGTACCTCCAGGACGAGCACCTCCGGGACTAGCAGTGCCAGCACCACCAGCACCTCCAGCACCAGCAGCACCACCAGCTCCGGCAGCTCCAGTACCTCCAGGACGAGCACCTCCGGGACCAGCAGTGCCAGCACCACCAGCACCTCCAGCACCAGCAGCTCCAGTACCTCCAGGACGAGCACCTCCGGGACCAGCAGTGCCAGCACCACCAGCACCTCCAGCACCAGCAGCACCACCAGCTCCGGCAGCTCCAGTACCTCCAGGACGAGCACCTCCGGGACCAGCAGTGCCAGCACCACCAGCACCTCCAGCACCAGCAGCACCACCAGCTCCGGCAGCTCCAGTACCTCCAGGACGAGCACCTCCGGGACCAGCAGTGCCAGCTCCTCCGGTACTAGTAGCTCCAGGGCCTCCAGCTCCAGCAGCTCCACGCGGAAGGCAGTAGCGCTGAGTGTACCACTTGCACAGCTGCTGTAGTGAGAGAGGCTCCCGCCGGCTAGACTGCTGGGGCGAGGCTTCGGGAGAACCGCCAGGACTAGTAGACGTAGCACCACCAGGCTCAGCACCCCCAGAAGCAGCACCTGTAGGCTCAACACCCCTAGGCTCAGCACCCCTAGGCTCCTCCCGCTCTGGCGTAGCACCCCCAGGCTCAGCACCTCTAGGCACAACACCTCCAGGCCCCAAACGCTCAGGCTCCTCACTCGCAGGCTCAACACCCCCAGGCACAACACCCCCAGACGCAGCACCCCGAGTAGCACCACCCCCAGCAGCACCTGAGTCACCAGTGACCTCGACAGGCTCAGGCAAGGGAGGCGGGTCTACCTGAGACACACCTGAAGGAGCAGGACCCTGAGGGGGGGGGGGTTCAACCGGAGGGGAACCTGGAGAGGGGCGGCGGGGGGAGAGGGGCAGTGCAGTAGGGAAAGAGGCGGTAGAAGGGAACCGACTCGTCAAACGTGACGTCCTGAGAGGCAAACACCCGACGCGACGTGGAGTGGTGAAACTGCCAGCCAGGCGCGTCAGGGGGAAGACGCAGGGAATGGCGTGAGCAGAGAGCTTGTCCCCGGTGGTATCGCGGACAAAGGCACGAGAACCCCAGACCCGGAAGCGCGACGCATCGCCAACCTCCCCCGTCCAACGCAGTGTGGGCGAGGTCTCCGGCAAGGAGACACGGGGCCAGAGGTTGAGCTGATGCGCAGTGTACCGGACCGCAAATGGCCACAGAAAATGGGGAGCCGCCGCATGGATCATGGAGGTACGAGCGACCTCCATGACTAAGCCAATGCGGCGCTTAGCAACCCCATTCTGCTGCGGAGAGGCCGGAAGCGTGAACGACTGGAGGATGCCCTCCCCCTGACAAAAGTCCTGCAAGAGGTCGGAGGAGAACTCACCACCTCTGTCAGAGTGCAGACGTAGGACGGGAAGGTCCGTGTCGAACCGCTCGCGGAGCTGGAGACGCACAGCGCGGATCCAAGGGATCAAAACAGCAGGGACTTCACCCTTGCTGCGCAAGGGGAAGACCGTGGTGTAACGCGAGTAGTCGTCGACAACCAGCAGAAAGTACCGCTCGCGGCCCTGTCCCTAGACGCGGGCTGGGCCCCACACGTCCAGGTGGAGAGTCTGCAGGGGAGCAGTCGTCGGGGGAAACGAGGAGTGAGGAGCGGCACGCTGCCGCCCCTCGACGCAAGGAATGCAGGGCGGGGCAGGCGAGGGCGGGAGGGAAGGCAGAGACCTGGGAAGACCAGAGACCAGGTAGCGAGAGTGCATGCCACGCAGGCGTGATAAGGAGGGGTGACCAAGGCGGTGGTGCCAAAGGAGAGTCTGGTGCGACAGGTGACGACACTCGCAGGGGGGGCTACCAGACCTGACGCAGCCACCTGACCAGACGCAGCAACCTGGGGAGGCTCAGTAGTCAGTGTGTACAGACTCGACCCAGGCCGACGGGTAAACGTGGCCAGGTGACGGCCCGTCCGTGCACACGTGCAGATCGCCACACGCTGGCCCACACGTGCAGATCGCCACACGCTGGCCTCCAGGGATAAAGGTATTAACCCACTCATCCTGAAGAGCTGCGTTACTCACCAAGTTCGTGGAGAACGAGGGGAGGTGGAGACCTGACAGCGAGCCGGACGGAACCGCCGGACACGGGAGCACGGTGGAGGAACGTGCAAGAACCGGACCCCCAGAGGGGTCAGCCAGGGAGACCGCAATTGGTCTAGGGAGCGGTGTGAGTGCGGTACTGTCGCGAAAGAAACAGCGTGAAGCACCTGAGTCAAGCGTGAAGGTGTGCAAGGGCTCAGCAGACGCAGTACCAGAGAGAGCAGACTCACTAGCACCGAGAGCAGACGCACTAGTACCTAGAGTAGCAGCCTCTATGCCAGGGTCGGGCGGCACACAGAGGTAACAGTCACCCTCAGTACCCACAGTCAGAGTATACATGGCAGTAAGTATAGCGTCCAAGTCGAGAGCAAAGACGTCCACCCTGTGACGAAGCAGCTCCAGCCAGCTGGGGGGCTCAGCCTCGTCGCCAAACACCTCTCTCCAGGCGTCACTCAAATAGGCGAAGCAGCGGGGCTGTGAATGGCCAGGTGTCCCGCAGGTCTGCCCGGCCCGAGCACCTGTGCGAATGACATACGGGCAGCGACCAGTACTCGGAGACTTCCCACGCTGGAAATACCACTCACGAAGCTGCTGGGGCGGAAGGGTGACGCGCGGACCTCGCTGAAGCTGCAGCTGGCCACCACCAGAACCTCCCCACCGAACAGCTCCACCTCGACTGCCGCTGCGGCCGCCTCCACCACTCCCACCGCTGCCCCCACCGCCGACACGACTCCCACCACTACCGCTAAGAGAAGCCATAGTGGGCAGAGGAAGGAGGTAGGGCAGGGCAAGGCAGGAACGGAGACGCACGGGCTGCAGAGGGCGTCGTGTAGGTGGGCAGGAGGCGAGCGCGCGGGCTAGGAGAGCGGCGCGCTGGCTGGCAGAGCGGTGCGCAGGATCCGGGACGGCGCTCGGCAGGGCAGGGCGGGCGTAGGGCAAGGCAGGGCCGGGCGCGCGGGCTAGCAGAGCGCTGCGCGGGCGGACAGGGCGGCGCGCAGGCCGGCAGGGGCGGCGTGCGGGCTCTGGGGCGGCGCACGGCAAGGGCAGGGGCCGCGTGCAGGCTCCGGGGTGGCGAGACGGGCAGGCAGGGGCGGCGCGCGGGCTCTAGGGCGGCGCGACGGGCAGGCAGGGGCGGCGTGCGGGCTCTGGGGCGGCGCGGCGGGCAGGCAGGGGCAGCGTGCGGGCTCTAGGGCAGCGCGACGGGCAGGGCAGGGCGTCACGCGGGTCCTAGGGCGACGCGACGGGCAGGGCAGGGCGTCGCGCGGGTCCTAGGGCGACGCGACGGGCAGGGCAGGGCGTCGCGCGGGTCCTAGGGCGACGCGACGGGCAGGGCAGGGCGTCGCGCGGGTCCTAGGGCGACGCGACGGGCAGGGCAGGGCGTCGCGCGGGTCCTAGGGCGACACGACGAGCAGGGCAGGGCGCCGCGCGGGTCCTAGGGCAACGCGACGGGCAGGGCAGGGCGTCGCGCGGGTCCTAGGGCGATGCGACGGGCAGGGCATGGCGTCACGCGGGTCCTAGAGCGACGCGACAGTCAGGGCAGGGCGTGCGCGGGGCAGCGCGTGCGCGGGGCGGCGCGACGGAGGGCAGGGCGTGCGCGGAGCAGCGCAACTCAGGGCAGGGCAGGGCGTGCGCGGGGCAGCGCAACTCAGGGCAAGGCAGGGCGTGCGCGGGGCGGCGCAACGCAGGGCAGGGCAGGGCATGCGATGGCAGCGCGACGCAGAGCAGGGCGTGGGGTAGCGCGGTAACCGCAGTCGGTCACTAGCTAATGGTGGGCCCGGAAAAAAAAAAAACAAAAACAGTCCTACGGACCTACTGCTCTGAAACCATGTCAGAATCAATGAGCAGGAATGTGTGTATTGTATGAAAGGTGGGTACAATTACTAACCCTAACTTTGGGTTGTACCCCATATGGGCTACCCCACTATAGCCTACACAGAACTAACACACATATATAGTTTGACACAATGTAGTGATGTAGCAAAGATTGCACTAAGTTGTCAAACGACTACAAGTATGAGCGAAGGTGTGAGCGAATACTTTCAAGCAAAACATGCAAACGGTAACGCGACGCGTGCGAGCTAGCTAGTGCGATACTGACAGCAAGGTTCGGGCTAGTCCCGAAACGTAAGCCGGCTTGGGCTAGTCCAGCGGTGCATGGTTTGGTGAATAGTGCGCGCGAGGTTGGCGAAGCCCCTTTAGGAGTAACGAGCGAAGAAACGGTTGGTCCTGTACGCGGTGTTGAAGCATGCGGTAAGGAATGCCGAAAAAATCCTTACACTATTCCCCCTCCCCCCCCCTCCCTCAAGTTGCCCCTCCACTACGCGAGTCGGTGTATATCGCAGAATCCCCGGCTTCACAGGTATACTTGCAGGGCAAGGTGATTTTCAATGTTGGCCAGGAGCATCCAGCTATCCTCTTTGGGGGTGCGGTCCTTCCAGCGAATGAGGAACTCAATCCTCCGAACCGTAGGGTGGCGAATCCGATGGCTCATAATTTTTCTGGGGTCGAAGATCGGCTTGGTTGTAGGATGCTTGGTTGGCGGGCGATGGCGTGGCAGTTGGCTCGTAGTGCTGATGTATGGGCGGAGAAGACTGGTGTGGAACGACGGGCTGATATACGAGTAGGTCGGTAGCAGGAGATGGGCGATGACAAATGTTAACATGTGGCTGATCTGGAATGGGTCAGAGTAGCGCGAGCCGAGTTTTGGTACGACGGGCAGCCGTAAGTTCTGCGTGTCGAGCGGTACATAGTCTCTTGTCTGGTACATCACAGGGCGGCGGAGGCGGTCGACGTTCCTCTTTGCAATGACGTTGGTTTTTTTTTTTTTTTTTTTAATTGTGTCTCCTGCGCGCGTTCGGGCAACTTGCAGAATCTCGGCGAACTGCTGTGCGCGTGGCGTTGGGTTGTCCAGACTCGGTGTTATAGGCATTGTAGGGTTCTGTCCGTGGTTCAGGTAAAATGGTGACTACTGCGTCGTCGTTAATACGGCGTTGTTGTAGGCAAACTCGATCAGCGGCAACTGCTGCTCCCCGATTGCCGGTTCGTCGCACGTGGCACGAATCATCTTCTCCAATGGCCTGGTTCGTCCGCTCCTTCTAACCGTCGGTCTCACGGTGTTACGACCAACTGAACTGTAGCCGGGTCCCAAACTGCTCCCAGAGATTCTTCGGTTGGTGCCTATTTCTAAATACTAGGCTCTCTTGGCTTTTGTTAGCTGCTTCGAGTTGCCGTTAGTGAAAAATGGGTCGGTGCGGTATCCGTAGGTGAACATGCTTGTTAATAGTCAGTTGGTTTGGGTGAGTAGGATGGCGTGAATTTGGGCAGTGGGGCGGGTGAGAGCGTTGGCAAGTTCGATGCCGCTATTTTGTGCGTAACGGTATAATGAAAGTTGGACTCCAGATAGTCCAACCATAGTATGTGTCGCAGGTTGAGATTCGGTTGGATGCGGAGGTATTGTAAGGAGCGGTGATCTGCCCGTGATGTGGCGTCGGCTCCTGTGAGGTAGCACCGCCACACTTTGAACGCGCACATTTCGTGTCCCTTCCCAACGCGTTACCACATTCCGCGGTCGTATATCGGGTAGTTGCGCTTTGGCGGGTGAAGCTTCACGAAGTCTTGCAACAGTACTATTCCCAAAGCAATGTCGCTTGTGTCAGTGACGAGGTCGAATAGACGGTGTGGATCAGCGATGTGAAGGACGTGCCGTGAGCACAAAATGTTTTTGAGGGCCGAGAAGGCAGCTTGCTCTTTCTCCCCCCACGTGTACTCAACCCCCTTCCTCAGGAGATCGGTCAACAAGGCAATCAGCTGCGCCATGTCGGGGACGAACCGACGCACGTAGTTGACGAATCCCAGAAAACCTTGCAACTCAGTCAGGTTTGTCAGGGCGTGCCACGCTTGAATCGTCGTGATTTTCTTCGGGTCTATTTCCACACTGTTGGTTGAAATAATGTGCCCTAAGAACTCCAGTCTGTCTTGTAGAAACTCACAATTAAAGGCTTTAGTCAGTAGGCGGTTCTCACTCAGTATTTTGAGAATTGCTTCAATGTCCCATAGATGTTGCGCTATGTCTGGGCTGTGGGCGGAAGGCTTCGTTCATGGTCATTTGGAAGGTGGCGGGGGTGTTGGATCAGTCTGAAGTGCATGACGGTGTATCCGAATAATCCGTAGCGGGTGCGTAAAGTGGTTTTTGGGCAGTGAGGTGGGTTGACGCGAATATGATAGTAGACCCATCGAAGTCCGATCTTCGAAAAGATGCGGGTTGTGCGAAGTTGGTCGATGAGTTTGTCGGCTCGCGGGATGGGGTAATGCGACTTGATCGTAACCCTGTTCAGTGCGCGGTAATCTATGCACATGCGAAATCCCCCGTCTTTTTTCGGTGTTAACAATATCGGTGTTGCGAAGGGCGACGAACTCGGGCGAATGAACTTCTTCTCGAGCAGATAATCCAGCTGCTTCTGCAGTTCGCCTCGGAACTGTCGCTTTACTATCGGCTGTCTCCGATTCTAACTCTATACTGTGGTCGTGCGGTCGTTGAGGTGGCAGTCCCTCCGGTAGATCATCCGGAAATCTTCTGCTCTACTGCTTCAATAGTGTTGCCAAATCATCCGGTACGTCGGCAAGCAGTTTCTGCAAATTGCTAGGTTTGTCTGGTGCCTCGGCTTCCCGGACGTCGACCGCGTACACATCATCTCCTGCCGCTATGGCGTGTTTCGTCTTGATCGCGTTGACACGAACCGATGAAGACTTAGGCGAGCTCCAGCAAGGTAAGGGAATGTTGTTACCATTGACTCGCACAGTGCAATCGCCCGTCGTCCAGTCTATGAGTAAAACGAGTAAAATCACGAATGAGTAAAATTTCGGTCCCATCGAGGGTTGTCGCCACCATTTATTGGGTGAAGGTGAAGTTACCCCCGCAACGAATCCGAACTCGGTCCACGCGTTCCCGTATCGCCAGTGGCGTGCCGTTGCCGACTAGTCGTGCGTTGATCTCAGGTAAGGGTGTGTCCAGCACGTACATTTACAGCTCATCCTGTGAGGTTGACCGTGTTGGGTCACTGTAAAAATTTGTAAAAATATACTATGGCTTTGCACCTTGTGACATTGTTTTGCACCATGGTAGATGAATTGTAAATGAACAATAAATGTACGCGCTAGACATGCCATAAGCATCGGTCCAATGTCAGTTTGACTCTCCGTGCAGTGGCAGTATTTATTGAATTGTGGCTAGCCCCTCGTCTACGAAGATTTTAACCAAGTCGGTGTGGATTTTCCTGTTGAGCAGTATGGGACTGTCTTTCGTTGGACCCTCCTTGTTCAGCCGGGCGTGGTCGACCCCATGAATCGACACAGTTATTTAGTGATGGTCGGTTGGGTCGAGCGAGCGGCGTAACCTGTCAGTAGAGGGCCCGTCTGCTACTGACTCCCAGCGTTTCCCTGCTGCTTGGTCTGTTTCTGCTGCTCTGCTCCCTCCTTTCCCTTGGCATTTTCCGAGCATTCGCTCTTACGGTGCCCTGGACGGTTGTAGGCGAAGAAGCACCCTTTGAATGGTGTGGCAGCGGCATTCGCGGCGACGGTGTGTATCGTGGCGTGCTCTTTCATCCCACGAACAGTGTCCCCAGTTGCTATTATTAAAGGACCTCGGTCTCGGGCGGCAGAGGAGATTGTATTTTTCCGGCACAACGGGTATGTCGTTGAATTTGGTGACGTTGCGGAGCAGGATTTCTTACATGATGTCGCTCTTCAGGTCGCTGACATAGCGGTCGATGCGCTCAGCTTTATGCATGTACTCGACATGCTCGCACAGGGCCAGAAACCCGCCAGTATAGTCCTGGATGGAACCGAGTTAGCGCCAAGAGCAAAGCTTATGACGCGCAGAGATTGACGTCGCGATTGGCTCGAAACTTGTGCGTAGACCTGCGCACCACGTGTCCCACGTACGATACTTTCATATGCTTTCCTGGTTTTTTCGTATCAATTGCTGAAGAATCAGCTTCGGTTAAAAAAAAGGTTTGAAATCTAAGAATGTTTTCTTCCCCTCCTCCTCCTCCTTCTCCTCCTCCTCCTTCTCCTCCTCCTCCTTCTCCTCCTCCTCCTCCTCCTCCTCCTCCTCCTCCTCCTCCTCCTCCTCCTCCTCCTCCTCCTCTCCTCCTTCCTCCTCTCCTCCTTCTTCCTCCTTCTCCTCCTCCTTCTTCTTCTCCTCCTCTCCTCTCCTCCTTCTGCTCCTCCTCCTTTTGCTCCTCCTTCTCCTCCTCCTTCTCCTCCTCCTCCTCCTCCTCCTCCTCCTCCTTCTCCTCCTCCTTCCTTCCTTCTCCTTCTTCTCTCCTTCTTCTCTCTTCTTCTTCTTCTTCTTCTTCTTCTTCTTCTTCTTCTTCTTCTTCTTCTTCTTCTTCTTCTTCTTCTTCTTCTTCTTCTTCTTTCTTCTTCTTCTTCTTCTTTCTTCTTCTTCTTCTTCTTCTTCTTCTTCTTCTTCTTCTTCTTCTTCTTCTTCTTCTTCTTCTTCTTCTTCTTCTTCTTCTTCACATAAATCTGCCCTTTTGAATTGACTTCTAAGGCCCTTGTACATGGCTAGCTAGGACGCTTCTAATTCATTTGCAATCTTCTATAAATCTATTTATATATTTGTTCAGATACTCATATCATTTTATATTCATATGCAGGTTTCATTCATCATTCAGCAGTGCACTACTCTTCAAGATCGTGACAAAGTCCAGAAATCAGCAGTAGCATGCATCTGTGAGGCAGGGGGGCAGTCCACGTGGAAGGCCTTGTTGTCCATCTAGACCTGTCAAACTATAATAGTGCTTGTTGTGTGTAGGCTATAGTGGGGTAGCCCATAAGGGGTACAACCCAGATTAGGGTTAGTACTTGTACTCACATTCCTCTCCAATGCATCATTCATTCCTGTTAGATTCTGATATGGTATCAGAGCTGGTCCTGTTCCAGGACCGTTCTCGTTAGGGCCCACCGATCGTACTCTGCCCGTAGCGCGTTACCCTGCTGGTTACCGTGCTGCCTTGCCTTGCCCTGCATTGCACTGCCTAGCGCGCGCTCTGCCCTGCCCTGCGTTGCGCCGCCCCGCGCACGCCCTGCCCCGTGTTGCGCTGCCCGCGAACGCCTGCCCCTGCAGCCCGTCGCGTCGTGCGCCCCTGCTGCCTGTCGCGCCACGCGCCCCTGCTGCCCGTCGCACCGCGTCGCCCGTGCGGGCTGCCCCAGCCCGCCGCGTCGCCCGTACGTCCTGCCCTGGCCCGTCGCGTCGCCCGTACGGGCTGCCTGCCCGTCGCGTCGCCCGTCCGCCCTGCGCCTGCCCGTCGCGTCGCCCGTGCGGGCTGCCCCAGCCCGCCGCGTTGCCCGTACGCCCTGCACTGCCCGTCGCGCGACCCGCGCGCGCCCTGCCCTGCCCGCGCGCCGCGCGTACACCCTGCCCTGCCTGTCACGCGGCCCATGCACGCCCTGCCCTGCCCGCGCGCTGCGTCTACGTCCTGCCCTGCCAGTCGCGCGGCCCGCGCGCGCCCTGCCCTGCTCGTGCGCTGCCCGTACGCCCTGCCCTCTCTGTCGCGCGGCTCGCACCCGCCTTCCCCTGCATCGCGCCGCCTGCGCGCGCCCTTTCCTGCCTGCGCGCCGATCTACTTCCAGCGCGCCACCCTGCTCTGACCGCGCGCCGCTCTTCCCTGACGGTGCACCGCTATACTTCTCTTCGTGGTAGCAGTGGGAGTGGTGGCGGCGGCCGTAGTAGCAATCACAGTGGAGCTGTTCAGTGGGGAGTTTCTGGCGGTGGCCAGATGCAGCTGCAGCGGCGTCCGCGCGAGACCCTTACGTCCCAGCAGCTTCGTGAGTGGCTTTATCAGCGTGGGGGGTCTCGCTGTACTACTCGTTGCCCGTACGTCATTCGCACAGGTGATAGGACTGGTCAGCCTTGCGGGACAGTTGGCCACACACAGTCCCGCTGCTTCGCCTATCTGAGCGACGCCTGGCGCGCAGAGTTTGGCGACGAGGCTGAGCTCCCCCACTGGATAGAGCTGATTCGGAACACAGTTGATAATTTGCTCTAGACTATGACGCTATCTTTACAGCCATGTATGCTCTGACTGTTGGTACTGAGGGTGCCTGTTACCTGTGTGTGTCGCCCGACCCTGGTGTAGTGGCTGCTGCTTTAGGTGCTAGTGAGTCTGCTCCCTCTGGTACTGCGCCTGCTGAGGCCTTGCCCACCTTCACGCTTGACTCAGGTGCCTGTGTGCCGCCCGACCCTGGTATAGTGACTGCTGCTCTAGGTGTTAGTGAGTCTGCTCTCTTTGGTACTGCGCCTGCTGAGGCCTTGCCCACCTTCACGCTTGACTCAGGTGCCTCTCGCTGCTTCTTTCGCGACAGTACCACAGTCACACCACTCCCTAGTCTTGTTGCAGTCTCACTGGCTGACCCCTCTGGGGGCCCAGTTCTTGCACGTTCCTCCACTGTTCTCCCGTGTCTGGCGATTCCGTCCGGCTCACTGTCTGGTCTCCACCTCCCTTCGTTCTCGACGAACTTGGTGAGTAACGCAGTCCTTCAGGATGCATGGGTTGATACCTTTATCCCTGGATGGCAGCGTGTGGCGATCTGTACGTGCTCCCGGATAGGCCGTCACCTGGCCACGTTCACTCGTCGGCCTGGGTCGAGTCTGTACACACTGACTACTACGCCGCCTCAGGTCGCTGTGTCTGCTCAGGTGTCCGCGTCAGGTCAGGTAGCAGCCTCCTATTCGTGTCGCCTCCTGTCGCACCAGACTCTCCTTTGGCACCACCGCCTTGGTCACCCCTTCCTGCCACGCCTCCGTGGCATGCACTCCCACTTCCTGGTCTCTGGTCTTCCCAGGTCTCTGCCTTCCCTCCCACCCTCGCCTGCCCCGCCCAGCGCTCCTTGCGTCGAGGGGCGGCAGCGCGCCGCTCCTCACTCCTTGTTTCCCCCGATGACTGCTCCTCTGCAAACTCTCTACATGGACGTGTGGGGCCCAGCCCGCGTCTAGGGACAGGGCCGTGAGCGGTACTTTCTGCTGGTTGTTGACGACTACTCGCGTTACACCACGGTCTTCCCCTTGCACAGCAAGGGTGAGGTCCCTGCTGTTTTGATCCCTTGGATCCGCGCTGTACGTCTCCAGCTCTGCGAGGGGTTTTGCGTGGACCTTCCCGTCCTGCGTCTGCACTTTGACAGAGGTGGTGAGTTCTCCTCAGACCTCTTGTGGGACTTTTTTCAGGGGGAGGGCATCCTCCAGCCGTTCACGCTTCCGGCCTCACTGCAGCAAAATGGGGTTGCTAAGCGCCGCATTGGCTTAGTCATGGAGGTGGCTCGTACCTCCATGATCCATGCGGCTGCTCCCCATTTTCTGTGGCCGTTTGCGGTCCGGTACGCTGCGCATCAGCTCAACCTCTGGCCCCGTGTCTCCTTGCCGGAGACCTCGCCCACACTGCGTTGGACAGGGGAGGTTGGCGATTTGTCGCGGTTCCGGGTCAGGGGCTCTCATGCCTTTGTCCGTGATACCACCGCGGACAAGCTCTCCGCTCGCGCCATTCCCTGCGTCTTCCTTGGCTTTCCCCCTGACGCGCCTGGTTGGCAGTTTTACCACCCCACCTCGCGCCGTGTCTTCCCCTCTCAGGACGTCACGTTTGATGAGTCGGTTCCCTTTTACCGTCTCTTCCCCTACCGCACTGCCCCTCTCCCCCCCCCGCCGCTCTTCCTTGCTCCAGGTCCCCCTCTGGTAGACCCCCTCCCCCCTCAGGGTCCTGCTCCTTCAGGTGTCTCTCAGGTAGACCCACTTCCCTTGGCTGAGCCTGTCGAGGTCACTGGTGACTCAGGTGCTGCTGGGGGTGGTCCTGCTCGGGGTGCTACTTCTGGGGGTGCTGAGCCTGGGGGTGCAGAGCCTGGGGGTGCTGAGCCTGAGCGTGCGAAGACTGGGGGTGCTGCGCCTGAGCGTGTTGAGTCTAGGGGTGCTGCTTCTGGAGGTGCTGAGCCGGGTGGTGCTGCTTCTGCTGGTGGTCTTCCAGGAGCCTCGCCGCAGCGGTCTCCCCAGCGTGAGCCCCTCTCACCACAGCAGCTGCGCGAGTGGCTTGCCCGGCGCACCCGCCTAAGGAGTGGCACTGGAGCTGGAGGTGCTGGAGCTGGAGGCACTGGAGCTGGAGGCACTAACGCTGGAGCTACTGGAGCTGGAGGTGCTGGCGCTGGAGGCGCTGGAGCTGGAGGCTCTGGAGCTGGAGCTGCTGGTCCTGGAGGTGCTCGTACTGGAGGTACTGGAGCTACCGGAGCTAGTGGTGCTGCTGGTACTGGAGGTGCTGGTGGTGCTGGCACTGCTGGTCCCGGAGGTGCTCGTACTGGAGGTGCTGGAGCTGGAGGCCCTGGAGCTGCTAGTCCTGGAGGTGCTATAGGTGACTCGCCACCGCAGTCTAGTCGGCGAGAGCCTCTCTCACCACAGCAGCTGCGTGAGTGGCTTGCTCAACGCGCTCGCCCTCGGAGTGGCGCTGCTGGAGCTGGAGGCCCTGCCGCTGGAGGCGCTGGCGCTGGAGGCACTGGAGCTGGAGCTGCTGGTCTTGGAGGTGCTCGTACTAGAGGTACTGGAGCTGCCGGAGCTGGTGGTGCTGCTGGTGCTGGAGGTGCTGGTGGTGCTGGCACTGCTGGTCCCGGAGGTGCTCGTACTGGAGGTGCTGGAGCTGCCGGAGCTGGTGGTGCTGCGGGCTCTGGAGCTGGAGGCACTGGAGCTGGAGGCGCTAGAGCTAGTGACCTGGGAGCTGGAGGACCTGGAGCTGGGGGCGCTGGAGCTGGAGGCGTTGGAGCTGGAGGCGCTGGAGCTGGAGGTCCTAACGCTGGAGGCGCTGGAGCTGGAGGCACTGGCGCTGGAGGCACTGGAGCTGGAGGTGCTGGAGCTGGAGGTACTGGAGCTGGAGGCCCTGTGCAGCAGCGACCGTTTTTCTTGCCGCCGCCGCAGCTGTCCGAGCTTCCGCCCGAGTCGGTGCTCCGTCAGGTTCTTAGTCTTCCTTCGTCCACTACCCTTCCTCCAGACTCACCACTGCCCGCCCCCCCTCCTTACACAGAGCAGCCGGTCTCCCTCACAGAGCGTCGTGAGCCTGCGTCTCGTCCTGCCTCCCCTGTTCGCACTGTTCGCCGTGCTCGTCGTGTCCCTCGTCCGCGTCCTCCTCCTGTGCCAGGTACTCACACTATGGCACTTCGTCCTTCCTCTATTCCACAGCGTGTCCCCCTGCTGTCTCCTTCTGCGTCCTCTCTTCCTGACGTTCCGGACCCTGAGTCTGACTTGGTTCGTGCTGCTAGTCCCACTGTCACGCGTCTCCTCGCTACTGTCGTTACTGACCCGTCGTTTGAGTCTACTGTTGCGTCTGCCTTAGTTGCTGAGCTTGTGGACTTTGCTGCTGCGTGTCGTCTAGACTACGCCACTAGTCTTGTTGCTGAGTCTGAGTCTTTCTGTCCTCCGTCCGTCGGGGTTGAGTGTGCTCTTGGCACGGATGTCCTTGAGGACAGGCAGGAGGACTTTGACTGTCTTGCGGCTGCTGTCTTGTGGCCATGCTGCTTGCACCTGAGGGAGACCCGGATGCACTGGACATCCCAACCCCGCGCTCTTACGCAGAGGCGATCACGGGTCCCTACTCCTCTCAGTGGCAGACAGCCATGGACGCAGAGGTGGCATCCTGGAAGTCCACAGGCACCTACGTCGACGAGGTTCCCCCTCCTGGGGCGAACATTATCAATGGCATGTGGATTTTCAGGGTGAAGCGACCGCTGGGTTCCCCACCTGTCGACAAGGCTCGTTACGTTGCTCGAGGCTTCAGTCAGCGAGAGGGAGTTGACTTCTTCCAGACCTTCTCCCCCACCCCGAAGATGACCACTCTTCGGGTGCTGCTGCACGTTGCCGCTCAGCGCGGAAGCTTCACTCACTTGACTTCAACACAACGTTCTTACAGGGCAGCCTGCACGAGGAGATCTGGCTGTGCCGCCCACCTGGCTTCACTAGGTCGTTCCCTCCTGGTACCCAGTGGAGCCTCAGGCGGCCAGTCTACGGTCTCCGCCAGACGCCTCGTGAGTGGCACGACACACTGAGGACGACTCTTGCGGCACTTGGGTTTGCTCCTTCCACCGCTGACCCGTCGCTGTTTCTACGCACCGACACCTCGCTGCCGCCGTTCTACATCCTCGTGTACGTCAACGACTTGGTTTTTGCCACTGCTGACACTGAGGCACTCACCCTTGTGAAGTCGGAGCTGCAGAAGAGACACACCTGCACAGACCTGGGTGAGTTGCGCAGCTACCTTGGCTTGTAGATCACCCGGGACAGAGCACGCCGCACCATCACCCTGACTCAGTCACACATGGTGCAGGACTTCAGCGCTCCGGCTTCCAGTTCTCCTCACCACAGTCCACTCCTCTGCCTACCGGTCACTCGCTCTCAGCTCCACCTTCGGACGAGTTCGTAGAGCCGAGTGGCCCGTATCCAGAGCTTGTGGGCTGGGAAAAAGAATTTTCCTTACCCCCCCCCCCCCCCCCCCCCTTTACGAAAGGTGGTCTATGTCTGCAACTCGCTTGCGGGTGAGATAATCACGAAGAAGCAAAGGTGCTTCAAACGAGGCGAATGGCACCCATGTGTTGTCCTCACTGGTGCGGTCCGTCCAGCGAATCAAGAAATCCTGGTAGGCGAAGGTTCTTGGTGTCGAGGAGGATTAGTTGCCTTGCAAGCATCATGATTTTCGGGCGAAGTAAGTCGGAGTATTTTCGAGCAGTGTTATTAGCTTTGCTGATGGCTTCAGCAGCTTTCTCTTGGATGGCTTGGAGTTCTGTTACAAAGTGTTGTGACCTCGGGACCCAATTGTTGGGTGAAGTACTCGTGGGTACCACAGGGTCCATCCTGTAACGGCGAGTGGTTAATCGTACTGTACGGGGCATTGTTGTACGCAAACTCCAGCATTGCGAGGGAATTTTCCCTTTCAGTGGGATCCGTGCAGTTAGTACAAATGAGCTTTTCCATCGTTTGATTGGTGTGCTCAGTCTGCCCACTGTTTTGCGGGTGGTAAGCCGACAAGATCTGTAGCGCGTGCCATGCTGTGCCTAGGTTTCCTTCCAGCACATCGACGTGAACTTCGGGCCGCGGTCGTTGACGATCGCAAACGGGATGTCGTGAATTTGTACAACAGTCGAGATGAACAAGCGCGCAGTTTCTTCGGTCGTGATTGTTGTGCGATAAGGGGCGAAATGTGCCATTTTCGTGAGGCGATCAACGACGACGAGAACGGCATCGTTGTCGAATGCACCAGCTAGGAGCCCCGTGAGAAATTCCATTGGAACCTGTTGCCACGGTCGTTTGGGTGGCTTGAGGAGTTGCAGCAGGCCGGGTGGGCGTTGTCGTGTTGACTTCATGGCCTGGCACGCTCTGCATCACGACAGATAAAGCTGCACGTCAGTCGAGGAGTTGGGCAATGTTAACTGAAGTGGAGTGTTGGCCCCGCCCTCGCTTGGGCGACGCCGACCGACTTCCTGGTTGGGCGTGCAGGTGGTGCGGCCGACTGTTTTGCAGGGTTCAATGCGTGCTGGTCGACGAGGGTGTCGACCTGCAGGCGACCACTGCTATGCCGCCATCGATAAGAGCCGGTGGTCTAGTTCGACAAGGGAGGTCGACGGAGCAGTCCGTCGACCTGCGCGGGACCTGTGGGCAGCTATCGAGGACTGGAGCTCGACAACTGTAGCTGATCTTGCTGGTCGACGGGCGAGCTGTCGACTAGGGTAGTTCGACGGGCGCGATCGTACCATCCGCCGTATTAATCGACGATGTTGGGACGGTTGGAACAAATTCATGGTTTCAACATGATCTGTAATTGGTTTCACTATTGGGTGGGATCTCTTTCGTAGGTCATTTTTGTCCACTTTTTGAGGCATTCTGTTGAATACGTTGCCAAAAAGTTGTTCAAGGGGTGCTTTAAAGAGTGCTTAAAACCCGAGTCTAGAATGGTAAGGGTTCAACTTCAAGATTCTTGAACTTGAGTTCGTCAAGAACAGGGTAACCAGGTTCAGAAAGCTTCTCCCTCGCGACCCACCGAGAAGGGAGTTGGTGGGCCAGAAGGTGATTGGCCAAATGCTCCACAACAAAAACAGCGACGAGCCTCACCAGAAACAAACAAGTGTCAAACTGTATATGTTATATACTTGTGTAGGCTGTAGTGGGGTAGCCCATAAAGGGTACAACCCAATGTTAGGGTTAGGATATGTACCCAACTCTGTTTCAATTCAAGTCATTCCTGTCTCTAGTTTCTAACATGGTATCAGAGCAGTAGGTCCGTAGGACCGTTTTTTTTTTCGGGCCCACCTACCGCTACCCCACGAATGAGCCTGTGACTGTGCCTGTGACTGTCACGCCTCCTGCCTCTTGTTTACTGTTGTCCCGCGCGTGTCGCCCTTCCAGCCCGCGCGCACCTTCCTGCACGCGCGTCGCCCTGCGCAGTCCGCAAAGAGCCCGTGCATCCCGTGCCGAGTCGCGCGCAGTCCGCTGCAGCCGCGCGTAGCCCGCCCCGAGCCCGCACAGCCCGCGCCGAGCCGCGCGCAGCCCGCTGCTGCCGCGCACAGCCCACGCCGAGCCGGCGCAGCCCGCGCCGAGCCCGCGTAGCCCGCTGCTGCCGCGCGCAGCCCGCGCCGAGCCCGCGCAGCCCGCGCCGCGCCGCGTGCAGCCCGCTGCTGCCTCGCGCAGCCCGCGCGCGGCCCGTAGCAGCCCCGCGCGCTGCCCCGCGCAGCCCGCGCTGAGCCCGCGCGGCCTGCACAGCCCGCGCCGAGCCGCGCGCAGCCCGCTGCTGCCTCCCGCAGCCCGCCCCGAGCCCGCGCAGCCCGCGCGCGGCCTGCTGCTGCCCCGCGCACCGCTCGCGCAGACCCGCCCGGCCGCAGAATGGGCCCCGACCTGCCACTGCTACGGCCCCGCCCTGCAGCTGCCACGGCCCCGACCTGCCGCTGATGCGGCCCCGCCCTGCAGCTGCCGCGGCCCCGACCTGCCGCTGACGCGGCCCCACCCTGCGACTGCCGCTGAAGCGGCCCCGCCCTGCAGCTGCCGCGGCCCTACTCTGCAGCCGCTGTTGCGGCCCCGCCGTCGCCGCCGTCGTGCGCCTACCCGGCCGCCGCCCGCCGAGCGCCGGCCCTGCTCGCCCGGCGAGCGCCTGCCCTTCCAACCTTTGGTGAGCACCTGCCTGCCTGCCTGCCGGCCTGCCTGCCTGCCTGCCGGCCTGCCTACCTGCCTGCCTGCCGGCCTGCCTGCCTGCCTGCCTGCTTGCCTGCCTGCCTGCCTGCCGGCCTACCTGCCTGCCTGCCTGCCTGCCTGCCTGCCCGCCTGCCGCGCCTGCCCTACTCGAGCTGCTGCTACTACTACTGCTATTAGCAGGTGGCCAGATGCAGCTCCAGCGACGTTCACGCGAGTCTCTCACGCCCCAGCAGCTTAGTGAGTGGTATACTAGTTGGGGCTGTCGCGGTAGCCGTCGTAGCTGTCGCCCTGGAGCTGGTCAGTTGGGAGCGTCTGGCGGTGGCCAGCTGCAGCTGCAGCGGCGTCCACGCGAGACACTTACGTCCCAACACCTCCACGAGTGGTACGCTCAGAGTCGCGAGTCTTTGAGAACAGTTCGCTGCCCGTACGTCATTCGCACAGGTGATAGGACTGGTCAGCCTTGCGGGACGCTTAGTCACACACAGTCCCGCTGCTTCGCCCGTCTGAGCGATGCCTGGCGTACCGTGTTTGGCGACGAGGCTGAGCTCCCCACCTGGCTGGAGCTGCTTGGACAGAGGGTAGATATCTTTGCTCTTGACTATGATGCTATTCTCACTGCCATGTATGCATTGCCTACTAGTGTTGACCGTGCCTGTTACCTGTGCGTACCGCCTGACCCTGGTATAGCGCCTGCTGCTCTCGGTACTGGTGAGGCTGCTGCTCTAGGTGCTCGTGCGTCTCCTACTCTAGGTGCTGGTGAGGCTGCTGCTCTAGGTGCTAGTGCGTCTCCTGCTCTAGGTGCTGGTGAGGCTGCGGCTCTGGGTGCTAGTACGTCTCCTGCTCTAGGTGCTGGTGGGGCTGCTGCTCCAGGTGCTGGTGAGTCTGCTCTCTCTGGTACTGCGCCTGCTGCGGTCTTGCACACCTTCACCCTTGACTCAGGAGCTTCCCGCTCCTTCTTTCGTGACTGCACCACACTCACGCCGCTTAGTCGGCCGGTTCCAGTCTCCCTGGCGGACCCCTCCGGGGGTCCAGTCCTTGCCCACTACTCCAGTACTCCGTCTGGCTCGCTGTCAGGTCTTTACCTCCCCTCGTTCTCTACGAACTTGGTGAGTGGAGCTGACCTCCAGGATAGGGGGGTTCACCAGTTCACTCCTGCGAGTCAGCGAGTGACTCACTGTACGTGTGCTCGGACGGGCCGACACCTGGCCACGTTTTCCCGTGCGCCTGGCTCGAGTCTGTACACCCTGACCACTGAGTCCCCTCAGGTAGCTGCGTCTGCGTCTGCGTCAGGTCAGCTGGCGGCCCCCTGCGAGTGTCGCGCTTTGTCGCACCAGACCCTCCTGTGGCACCACCGCCTTGGTCACCCCTCGGTGCAGCGCCTTCGTGGCATGCACTCTCGCTCCCTGGTTTCTGGTCTTCCCAGGTCTTTGCCTGCCCTCCCTCCCTCGCTTGCGCCGCCCTGCATTCCTTGCGTCGAGGGGCGGTAGCGCGCCGCTCCTCACTCCTCCTCGTTCCCTCCCACAGAGGCTCCCCTGCAGACTCTCCACCTGGACGTGTGGGGCCCAGCCCGTGTCCGTGGACAGGGCCACGAGCGGTACTTCCTGCTGGTTGTCGACGACTACACGCGTTACACCACGGTCTTCCCCTTGCGCAGCAAGGGGGAGGTCCCTGATGTTTTGATCCCTTGGATCCGCGCTACCCGTCTCCAGCTCCGCGAGCGGTTCGGGATGTAGTTCCCCGTCCTGCGTCTGCACTCTGACAGAGGTGGTGAGTTCTCCTCAGACCTCTTGGCAGCCTTCTGTGCGGAGCACGGCATCCGTCAGACGTTCACGCTTCCGGCCTCTCCGCAGCAGAATGGGGTTGTTGAGCGCCGCATTGGCTTAGTCATGGAGGTCGCTCGTACCTCCATGATCCATGCGGCTGCCCCCCATTTTCTGTGGCCGTTTGTGGTCCGGTACGCCGCGCATCAGCTAAACCTCTGGCCCCATGTCTCCTTGCCGGAGACCTCGCCCACGCTGCTGTGGACGGGGAAGGTTGGCGATGCGTCACGTTTCCGGGTCTGGGGTGCTCGTGCCTTTGTCCGCGATACCA